TATAGGTTATATGCACATTAAAGGTCAGATATGATGACACTGGTATAGGTTATATGCACATTAAAGGTCAGATATGATGACACTGGTATAGGTTATATGCACATTAAAGGTCAGATATGATAATATTTCCTTCTAATATCTTGTATCATTTTCAGTAAAAAAAGATCAGTTATTTTTTACTGGTTATGCTAGAAATTATTTTTTTCCAGATTAAAAACCAAACCAAACACGGCTTCAGTACCAATGTATATTACTTGTTAACTTACAATCTCCACACACAAAGTAACTATTGTCTTCCTTGTTTCAGTGTCATTATAACGTTAAATACTACATAGTGAGTGTATGGTGTGTTATGTTTAGGCCTCACCAAAAGGAAAGTTGTCTGTTGAAATTGTAGTTCCAATTTTGAAGATTTTTTTTTGCTTGCAAATCCAGAAATCTTCATTGCCCATACCCAGTTTCATATAATATTTTATAATCTCTGAATATCTGGTGTAACCAAGCAGATAGATGACATCCTCATAAATTGTAATGAGTATGAAAGATGTTATCACATGTTTAAGTTGGAAAGATGATAAAACTGTATACTCTTTATTGTGCTCATTCAAGGTTAAGGAGGGTGGTCAGGGACAAACAACTAGATGCCAAGACGTAATGTATCGTACGTGATGGTGAATTTGGCAGTTTCATAACTGTAAGTTTATTTTCCCAAGTGTCACTGTATACCAAATTTGGCTTTAAGTATGTAGAATTTGGTGTAAAAAGACCAGAAATACTGTGGCCTTGCACTTCTTGTGAAAGAAAATTTGTGCAATAGATAACCTGATGCAGTTGAAAAAACCATAAAACTCCCCACCCCTATTTCCCCCAAAAAATTGACCACTAGGGAAAATTAATAGACTCCAGGTCTATAATATGTAGAATGTATAATAAAAATAATATTGATCTGTTTGAACTTGAAGGTGTAAGCTCTATTAAAACAGGTGAGTATAAAAAATAATAATCCATGAACTAGACAAAAGGGGGGGTCTTGCTGTTTCATTATCTTTTGTTAAAAAATCTGTAAACCAAACAATTGTTTTTTGTGTGGCCTTACATGTTTGGATTTTTTTCAGCTGTTTAACAAAGTATTGTGAAAAGATAAAAAAGAAGCCATGAAAGAAGTTTAATACAATAAGAATTCAAGAAAATTCAGTATATTACAAAGCAGGTTATTTTGAATAATCGTATATATTATGTCTGATATTTTTTTTTTGTTCAACCAGACAGTCTTTAGAAATTTGTGATGTCCTCTTATAAACACTGTTCACCATATATATATTTATGAAATTAAATTACTGTATCTCATGCATTTCTTTTCTTGTATAGGTAAAAGTAAAAAAAAATCAAGTAATAATCTAAAAAATAAAAGACATAACTCTAAGTCAGAGGATAAATAAGAATACATAAACAAATTTATTTAAATGTTTCAAAATTTATAGATATTTTTTTACTGACTTTTGAGCTCGTCCATTAATTATATTACAGGTACTTCTTTGAAAGTTTTGTCTTGCATAAAATTAAAATTTAATGTTACTATAAAGTAAACTGCAAATTGTTTCTTAGTCATGCTGATCATATACATAGTTCCCATTTTTTTCATAACAGAAGTAGAAAGTGCCTTGCACCAGTATATTAAATGATAATGCAGTACTTAAATCAGCAGTTCCCAAACTTTTTCTCGGTGTTGACTCTGTTTCAGACATCTCAAATCTTTGCAGCCCTATCTACTCAAAAATGTATTTCAAACAGACCATTCAGGTCCTTTTTCTACATATGAATTTTTCTGACAAATTTGCCTATCGTTTGAGAATTACTGGCATAAAGAATGATAGGTAGTACAGTAATGTCCCTATCATGAAGGCAATACATTCTAGAAACATCTGGAAAAAGTTTCATCCAATTGGATAACAGAGTGCTAAGGTTCCTCGTTTTGCTTTTCTAGGTTGCACTGGTTAACACTAGATGGTTGTATGTATGAGTTGTAAAATACAAGATTAATAGAAAATGTCTTATTTAGAATGTTTAGTTTAATAAAAAATATTTAAAATAGAGACAATACAGAATGGATGGAAAGTATGAATTCTGATTTATTCCCGGGTGAGCGTAGCTAGTTCTGTGGCAGTTAACCAAAATATGTTTTCCGGGTAAGCGTAGCTAGTTCTGTGGCAGTTAACCAAAATATGTGGTCATGCCGAGAAAAAATGTTTGTAGATTAATTTTCCAATTGTGGAAAAAAAATTAACAAAAGAAACACAAGCTTTCAATAGATATACAGTGTGGAGTTTGCTGCAAATTTTACTTTGGTAATACGTTCATTAGAGTTCATGTGAACAACTTATGCAGTATTTCCATTTGGGGTTGCATTTTCAAATTATTGATAGTGATGATAATCATGTTTGCTTCTTAAAAGGAAGATTATGAAATGTGCATTGAAACAGTATAAGGAATAGACAAATATCATAAAAGTGTTAGTTTTAATAGAAACATTTTATAATGGACCTTAAAGAGCCAGAAAGCTTGAAAAATTAATAAATAAAAAATAGACAGAGATAGCTGTAGACTGGATGATCATGAGTTTAGCCATAAAGAGCATATAGTGACAACTTTTAAAGTACAATAATCACAGATTGTATTGCAGTAACAGAGTAGAGAAGAATAATTCATCTTGTCAATTGTATGTGTGTTCTAAAGTAATTGAACCAGTCTATGTGGACTTTTGATGTAAAAGAGAATTATTTAAGGCTCTGGATTCAACTGTGGTGATTAACTGCATGTAATGAACATTTGTATATACATTTGACTTGTTTTAATATATTAATTTAAAACAAGTGGACTGTGTGCTGGTTGTTTATTGTTGAAATTTATCACCAACAAGTCACAGACACCTGCTGTAAAGAATCCTGCCCATCCATACCTATAAAACCTGTAGTATTGGTAATTAATAGTATTAGTATTTACTGATAGGGGATTTTAGTGTTATATTTGTCAATAATGTATTCCACAAATTATCATATAGTCTAATTATGGATACATTTACAAATACTGGGTGACAGATAGTCTAATTATGGATACATTTACAAATACTGGGTGACTAAATTGGTGTTAAAGAATTAACACTGGCAGAACTTCACTATGGTTAGAAAGTGTTTAGGGATAAGTCAACTTATAGGGTGTGATAGATGTTTGAGAATTGTGGGCTTGTATGACTTTCAGGAGACTCAGAAATATACAGTACACTTCACTTATGGACCTTTTTTTTTTTAGGTTAAGGGGTAGAGATAATGTTTGGGAAGATTAGTTTGTTAGAGGAGAAAATAACAGATTAAGAGCAGTGTCCAAGGAAGCAAGAGAGGAAACGGGGTATGGTGAGAATAAAAGTGGTGGGTATATGGAGTAGAAAAAACATTATAGCTATGGAGGTAGGTTTGATTAGCATTCAAGTACCAGTCACTGGCAGATTTCAACCTATGACTGTTTTTAACAAGTTAGAAATGAAATGAGACGATCAACAGATTAACATAGTGGGCAAACTCTCTCATTGATACAATAATAAAGTTTTTTTCATGGAGAGTACATTAAATCTAGAAGTTGAGTTTCCTTTCCAGTACAGGAAACTATAGAACACCGTAACAGTTTAGTTGTTGATGCTGAGGAGCACCTTTTTGTAGTGCATTTTGTAGCTAAAGAGTTGTTTAGAAAGTAAAAAGAACACTGCTTGAGGTATGGGGCTAGAAATAGGCATGCAGTTCTTTTGGGTGTGTTTTCTTGGGCAGATTTGAAGTAGTGTGTTCAGTTTTGGACTCCTTAACTTAGAAAATAAATTGAATTGTTGGAAATGGTTCAGAGGAGGGCTAGTTTGATGATACTTGGGATAGAAAGGTTCTCAAAAAAGGACAAATAAATCTCTCTGAAATTGTTTTCTCTTGAAAAGTAATAGTTAAAGGGGATCTGATCAACGTGTTTAAGACTATTAAGGGAATTTAGAGTGTTCAAACCTTATCTTATTTTGTATTTAATGGGGACACAAATATAACATTTGGCAGGGTTCGAGTTATCTTCAGCTAATAGTTTTATTTTTCAACCAGGGTGGTTGGCCTTTGTTGCCTTCGGATGTGATGGAAACAGTAAATTCAAGGGAAGGATTGATAAATATTTGAATTATAAGGGATGGCTTCGAGTTTATAGTTTAGTGGATGTACCAACAGGTCCCTTGTTGCCGTTAAATGTTATGCTAAACTGGTTCAAATGTGGTGGGTAACCAATTAGAAAACTTTCAAGCCATAACAGTCATATATTGAGCCTTTAAGGGATACTGATGTTTCTGTTGAATACTTTCAGGTGGTTTTCTCTTTTCTGTTATTACAGAAGATGACATTAGCAGTATTCCCAAGTATTTTATGGGAAATGACCTTAATTGTATAGATACTAATCCCTTGGTATGAAGTATAAAGACTGAAACACAAGGACCAGACAGTGTTTTCTGTAGGATTCTAAAAGGGGGTAAGACATCAGATATGTGAACCTCTGTCTTTTTTTTTACAGGTTAATAGACAGGATTATAAGTTGTAAATACTGCTTGTATTTTTAAAAAGGTGTCATAAAGAGCTATCCTTGGTTATTATAGGTCAGTTTATTTTAGCCCTGGTATTGAACAAAAGGCCTCTTCAACACTAGATATAGCAGATGTAGTGTGGTTGATATAACATATTCTCCGTTTCTATCACTCGTGAGTTCTTAGAATTACTTTAGCAGAAAACGGTTTTAAAATCTGTTTTAAAAGCTGTGTAATATCATTTAGTCATATGTTGTATAATAAAAACAAACCAACATGGATTTAAGAAACAGAAATTTTGTATTACTAATCTGTTAAATTTTGTTGAGAATGTTACTTGTTATCCGGACGATGGAAAAGAAATGGATTTGGTGTACTTAGATTTTCAAAAGAATTTTGATAAGTTGTTATGCAAAAGATTAGCCAATAAAATCACAGTAGTGGGATTAAGGGAGAGATTAGTTAATTGTATTGAAAGGTAGCTGGATGAAATAAAAAACCTTTAGTTTTATTTGGTCCAGTCAAACTGGACCTTTACTAACGTAGAGTCTCAGAGACTGGGCCTTTGCATTAATGACATTGCCTGAGAGGCAATTAGTGAAGTTTGCCGATGGTATTAAACATTTGGGTGTCTTCAGCTGTATTGGGGTACTACAGAATGACTTGGAAAATAACCTTTATTTGGATCACACATGTAATGTGAACAGGAACCCATTCATTAGCACGGGTAAAGAAATGACTGTTCGTAGTAGTGGAGACTTGCACTTAATAAGAACTTAAGACTGAAATTGATGATTTCCTGAAAACAATTGGCAAGTTTAATTTCTCCCTCTTTGTGCAGGGACAGCCATGAAATACCAAATTGTCCCTTGTTGTTCATACAAGTTTAATAAAGTATTATTTATAATCAGGTTGGCAGGTATACGAGTATTTAGCATGGCTTTTATTGAAACATTTGTGAAAATCAGTTACTTAGTTTGAGTATTTTAAATAAGAAGTTTCTGCTTGGTTTTATCAGTTTTAACATGGGGCTTGAATTATTGTATCCCCCTTATGATTTTTAAAATTAACTTCTGCTCTGAATATGGTGTGCGCAAGTTCACAAACTTAATATGTTGTTATTCTTGTTGGAGAGGATGAAACATAGATATTTGTTTCACTTATTTCAAACATGATTTTAATATTCCATGTTACAGAAACTACGTTGGTCATGTTTAACTTTATGCAACATAAAATTCCAGAGATTAGTTCTATTTTATAACAAATATTTATGGCAACTGGTCTACCTGATTTTGTAAGTTATATAAATTATACCAGATAATCTCTCCTTCCCCGAGCAAACATAAAGTAACATACTCTACTTCGTGAAACTCTTACCATTTACTGATTTAGGTTTGTCTTTCAAGTTTAGTTCATTTTCTTCAGATATTATATATATATTTTATAAAACGTCATTTTATATTTCGACTGTGATGATGAATGGTGTGCATGTACAAATAAAGGAACACTTTAGCTACATAATGAAATTCTTCACGTATTCTTAGCTAGCCCTGTGACCGACAGAGAAAACACTATAAATACTTATGTATGGTTAGGCCTACACACTGACTGTGGATTTTATACTGTTTCAAAAAATAAATAAATAAAAAGGTTTAACCAGTAATTAGAATTACTAATTCCAAAAATTGTGGTTGATACACATTTATATTACATTCTTTTTTTTCCTGTGATGGTACTACAACAACAGCCATAGTACTGGGTCTTCTAAATAGTGAGTGTAACAAACGAACGACATGGCGTTGGCACTAATAGTATGTAAAATTTCTAGCTCAACATGATAAAAAAAAACCCTTACTAAAGGAAACGGGCCGTTTTTAATAATTCACTGGTATCGTTCATTTTCATTTATATAATGGCAACTTATCCTTATCATAAAAATGAATTATTAAATTTGGGGTCTTATGGACGATAATGTGACATGTTTATAAAATCATCTATCCGCTCTAAAGTGGAGAAGTTGGAAATGGCAAAACTCGTAAAAAAATATTTTAACGTCCACGTTAGTCGAAGAATAGAACGTACTAAGTTATGTACATTGATTATATATTACAATATATGACACTGGCAGACTCTGATAATTATATACTGTAGAGTCAGATCCAAAATCTCATTAGTTAACCCTGGATATTTCCGAATTTTCTTTATGCCGTTTTCAATAAAAGCCCGGATTGGTGTGTTCTATGATGCAACGTTTACAACATCTCTTCACCATTCTGTAACCTTCCACAGTAATGGCGCAGTCCTGGATGTTCAGCTGCTGGAGACCCCGACAGTAGTAAGCGATAGCTCGGACTCCTTTATCGGTCACCATGTCGCAGGACTTGAGGCTCAGTTTCTTCAGGTTCGGGCAGTGCTCCGACAAAAGCTTCAGTCCGTAGTCTGTGACGTCACACTTGCCGATGTCTAGCGCCCGGAGCCTTGGGCAGCTTCTGGACAATACTTCCATACTGTCATCAGACACAGCTTCACAGCCTCGAACATTTAGATAGCGCAGCTTGTAACAGTGGCGAGCTATTTGCTTGACACCGGCATCAGAGACTTGGTGACATTTAGCCACGCTGAGGTACCGTAGGTTAGGTCCCAGTTTGGCAAGTTCATAAAGACCGAAATCAGTAACTTGTAAACAGTCGCTGACACTAAGTTCCCGTAGCATCACACAGTAGCTAGCAATATACTTGACTGCCACGTCAGTCAGCTGGACACAACGTCGAAGGAAAAGATGGGTTAGCTGAGGACAGTTCCGGACAAACGCTTTCAGCCCAGAATCCTCCAAAGCTTGACAGTCGGTAAGGTCTACGTACTGGAGATACAACTGACGAACACACACTGGAAGGGAGTCAGGTTTAGACCCAGCTGGTTCTGGAACAGGTACTGTTGTCTGACGAGGCTCAACACTGGTAACATGACAACATCCTGAAGAGTAAAAAATAAAATAAATGATGAACAGTATTAAAAAACTTGAAAATGTTGAGACACTTTACAAAGTTACACCCGAATAAAATAGGCTCGTGATAAGTTAACGTACTGCTATACAGCAATACAAAAATACAGGGTATTACTTACCTCCATTTATACCTATTTATGTTATTTTTGATATATACGTACAACGGACGACAATTTTTCGCATGTAACTCGAGTTTTAAAGACTCAAATGTCTAAACAAGTTTTACCTGTTAATATAGCTACAAGTCATCAACTGATTGTAAATATATATTATTTACTAGATTAAGAAATTTCCTAACCAAACAATTAAACATACGGACTTACGAAGGAGTGGTTTTAAAAATACGAAATATTTATGAAGGGCGGAGGCAACTTTGGTCCTTGGTTGTTTTTACTTCTACATTATTCCACTCGATAAGTAATACTTTTTGTCTTTTATAATAAATGAGATTTATGTTTAAAACAGTCTCACGAGTGACTTCATTTCTGGAAATTTAAAACGTTTTTTGAACTATTATAAACTTTTGCCGAGTTTTTGGTTTATTTTGTTTTTTTACTTACATAATTCTACAGTGACGCCATATGTACAGGAGTATAAAAATACTGCTTGCATAATACAGATAGCCTGCGAATGTATAATTGTTGTAATTTAAATCTTTGATAACTATAAATATTTATTGAATTATCGAATTTCAATTATTCACTTCTCGTTGTTTACCTGTAGCTATTTTCATTCTTCTTCTGTTTAACTATTTTATATGCAAATATATATTACATTTTATTTTTCAACTTTAAACTTATTTTCGCAGAAAACAGCAGATGGATTATGTATATTCCGAAATAAGATTATCTTGTTGAATCCATCACCGTGTTCTTTTAATACTAAATCACATAAACAATTATAATACGTTATTGATTACTATAATAAAGCATTATTTACTACACTTAAAAAGTTCAAACAAAAGCGTGTTCCTATATTATGATTTAGGCCTAATCCAAGCATATTCATGCAGCTTATTGCTTTGCCGAATACGATCATAGTGGCTACAATTTCGTTGTAAAATATGAAACAATTGTTTTAATGTTAATTTTAAGTAACTATGCCAGCAACGTGTACATAAATAAGAATGAAATTCTAGTTATTGAGGTTGTCACGAAAATAACCTAGATTCCAACAAAGTTCGGCCCTGGACAGTCACGAAAAGCCGCGCTCTAACTTCTTATACGAAGGCCTATAATGAAAGCAGGTTATGTTCCCATACACGTTGAAAATAAATTATAACACCATTTGAAATATTCCAAACATGTAGAATGATAGGAGCAGAAAAAACAACAACTGGAAAATCGCAATAAAAAAACAACAAACTACAACACCAAAGCGCTTTCGAAATTAATATCTTAACGCTTATTAATCAGAAATATCCCAGCTATTAATTCTAAACGCATTACCTATTTTGGGTGTTGTGCCATATTTACAGGTTTGTGAATAAATACATCTGAATGTAAGAGAGGGATTTCTTCTCTGTAGAGATCTACTTATATATCAGTGGCCAATACTTATTAACTCCCGAAATATTTCAGCTAATTGTTCAAAACCCACTGTTTGAAGCGTTTTTCTGTGTCGTGTCATGTTTTTCTAAAAACAAATTCCGTTTTGGAAAATAAGAAAAACAGTCGACGTTTGTTTTGGATCTTCCTTTCTCTCTATTGATATATAATTTTAAGTCAATATCATAACGTAATTTTGCCTTTAAAAAATTGATGGCTTGCGTGAAAGAAGCCAACTTCAGCCTCGTAAATAAACAGTGATTTGTGATCGATGGCTCGTAGTGCCATTTACAACACAAGCTGTCAATGAAAAAGTACTTTTATAGATAATTTAGGCAGAGTATTCATGATGAACAAATATGGGTGAAATGAGCTGAAATACCCACTTTAAATTGATTTATTAGGGCTTGCTACTTAATGATTAAAATATCATCAATGTTCATCTCAGTAACACTATCAGAACGCTGTTTATAAGTTTTTAATTATTTCAATCTTGATTCGTGGTGAAATATTTTAATCATTAATAACTGAAATCTCTATATATATACAGTTTTAATACATCAATGAAATTCTCAGGAATTCACTAGATACGTATTCTGGTATGCACATAGGTAATACTATGATCTATGGGTACACAAATACATCTTGGAGATACGGTCGCCATCTATGGATTATTAAACTTTTTAATAAAAGTAAGCTAAATATATTGATCAAAACTAAAAAGTAACTGAATTAACAAGGCCTTTTCTTCTGTATAATAAACTTAAATAAAATACTTAATGCCTTAAATCAATACAAAAGAAAACTAAAAGCTACAATAATTAGAATGTGTTAAATTATCTGGCGGGTTATCCCGCTATTAATGATACTTATGGTCACTTTATCTAAATAATATCATGATAGTTAGTCAGCTTGTGAAAGTTATGTTAGTCTCAAAATTGTATATTAAGGATAAGCTGCTAAGTAATCTTATTAAGCGTAAAACTTAACAATATTAAAGTAACATTCAATAATAATAATATATATTATTTTAAGCCTTACAACTAATAATATTAATAAATTTCTCTTGAGTAAAAATCTGTCTTGCCTCAATTTATTTATAGTCAATCGTTTATGTATTTCCAGTAATGTACACCCAACAATAAAACTGATGAAAAAATGAAGATAAGAAACAAAGGCTAAAAACCGTAAAGGAAAGCCGAATATCTTATGAAACAAATAATGAAATTGAAATTCATATATTTATAAGAACGCTAAATATACAAGTACAAGTTATGTTAAGGAATATATTAATCCAACCATTTTTAATACAATGATTCAGAATACTAAAAAAAAATCATGTAGTGTTAGACATACACAAGGAATTCAAACACAAGAGCATTTTCGATAGGCAGACCTTTGTCTTCCTTGTTTAGAGTATTTGTACTGACACCACCGCAGGGATCGAATCCCAAATTTTAACATTATAGGCCCTCGAGCTTACCATTTGCCACCGGAGGGGGGGCACGTAAAGGAAGAAGTATGAAAATATTCCACTCCAATATGAAATAAGTATACCAATTAATTATTACTTCCTCATGTACCAATTACCTTACTAACCTTCTCTTCATTATTTGATTTGAATTTTCGCGTCAAGGTACACGAAAGCTACCTGCGCTAGCCGTCCCTAATAGGTTAAGAGGAAGGCAGCTAGTCAACACCGCCAACGAATAGTGGGACTGACCGTATATTATAACGCACCCACGGCTGAAAGGGCTAGCATGTTCAGTGAAGAGGATTCGAACCCACGACCCACAGATTACAAGTAGAGCGCCCTAACCACCAGGCCACTCTTCATTCCTAGTTTCCCTTTCAAGTTTAGATTTTTTCGTCTCGTATTTTATTTCCCTACCTACCTAATTACAAAAATATGTGATTACTTTCTTAAACTTGTTCCATTTCGAAACTTGTAACATATTTCTTGTAAGCTTCTATCGTTAAAATGTACCAAAAGAAAATACTGTCTAGACCACCCTCTGGAGTTGTCTGACTGGAACTTATCGTTCTGCACAGTTCACAACTGCAATGATGGTTTATATTGGAGAGATACTTGAACTCAAAACAAGCGTAATAAGTACATACAGCAAAGTAGTAACGCGTGTTTTTGTTTCTTCTAAATACCAAAGCGTCTGACATGTATTAAATATGCAAATATTTATCAAAAAGAAAATCATTCATATTTTTAGTTTCTTTAATCACGAAAAGATAAACAAATTATGTGGAATTAAAAAACAACAACAGCTGGTTATTCGAGTTTTTTTTTTCGTTTTAAGTGATAATTTCACTTAGTACGTTTCTTAATGTCTTCTTAGTACTAACCCTTACTAACCGTCTCGTAACAATGTCTTCTTAGTACTAACCCTTACTCACCGTTTCGTAACAATGTCTTCTTAGTACTAACCCTTACTCGCCGTTTCGTAACAATGTCATCTTAGTACTAACCCTTACTCGCCGTTTCGTAACAATGTCATCTTAGTACTAACCCTTACTCGCCGTTTCGTAACAATGTCATCTTAGTACTAACCCTTACTAACCGTTTCTTAACAATGTCATCT